CTTGTTAGGGGGCTTACACTCTAAAACAGCCACTCCTCCTCAGAGAAGTGTTGACTCCTGTCAGAGAAGTTTTGATTGCATTGAGAATCAGCACAAGAGTGCTCACAGGCCTGCTGATCACAGCGTCTCACACTGACACAGAAAAAAAAAAAAAAAACTCAGTGGAAAATTTCACCCATAGATAGAATAGATGAAATGGAAGAGAGATTATCAAGCCTTGAAGACAAGGTAGAGGAGCTGTGTCACTCAAAGCAAATGTCAAATCTAAAATCCCCAGGAACAGAATGTGCAGGTACTCTGGGATACTATAAAAAGACCAAACCTACAAGTCACAGGTATAGAAGATGAAGAAAACCACAGTTCATCATACAAGAAAACTCCCCAAATCTAGGAAAGAGACACCTATCAAGGTGCTAGGGGCACACAGAACACCAAATAGACAGGGCCAGAAAATAAACTCCTCACATCACATAATAATCAAAACACTAAATGTACAGAACAAACAAGAGTACTGAAAACTGCTAGAGAGAAAGACAAAATAGAGGCAGGACCATCAGAACAACACCCGACTTTTCAAAGGAGACGTTGAGAGCCAGGAAGACATGGACTGATACTCTACAAATTCTTAAAGACCACAGATACTAACTCATGCCGTTATACCCAACAAAATTACCAGTGGTAGTAGAAGGAGAAAGAAAAACTTGCCGTGATAACAGATTTAAGGAACTTCTGTGGCCTAGCCAGCTCTACAGCGGATACTAGAAGGAATGCTCCAGTTTGAAGAGAAAATATACCCAAGAGGGCTTCTGTTGGTGCTTTTGCTATTTATGACAACTCCTAGGCATCAAGCTGCAGTGGTAGCCAGCGTTCCTAAGAATAAGAAGGCTCTGGTGAGCATGATGGAGAAAGCAGGTGTTAGGTGATCTCCATTCCAAGTGAGCTACAGTGCTGTCGACTGGGAGCCAGTGTTTATGAACCAGCTACAGGCAAGGTGTCTTTAAACAGAAGTACACATAAAATCAATTTTTTATTGGTTGATGAAAAGTTTATTACTAGAAGTTCATAAGACCCTGACACTATTTCTCCCAAGAGCAATAGTGGCTCAGCATTTCTAATTCAGTTTTCACAATGTCTAATAGAACGTAACTCTCATGATAACAAAAACCAAATGTATTTCTAAATAAAAGGTACTATTCAAGGACAAGGTAGAATACCTACAGGCTTAATAAATTGGTGAAGAATATTATAAGAAGAAAATGTGTTTAAATCCAGTGAAAAGAGGAAACACAGACCTGTACACTGAAACCTATAATATATTTTTAGGAAAAATCTGAAGCTACCAAATGGACAGCTAATCCTCATTCATGGACTGAAAGACTCAGTGTTGCTATGATGACAATGGTCCCCAATTGATCTATAGATTCAATGCAAGGTGTCAAAAATTCTAGTAGCCTCTTACAAAAATTGACAGAGATCCTAAAATGTATATGCACATGTATTGGACTCAGACTAGCCAGAATAACTGAAAGAAGAAAATGTTGGGGGACTTTAAATTTCTGATTTCATTTATTTATTAGCTGTTAAGATACTACAGTCAACAGCATGCTATTGGTATAAAGGCAGACAGCAATACTTGCAACAGAACTCAGAGAATGGAAATTAATCCTAACACTTTACAGAGAATTGATTTTTAGCAAAAGTAGCAAGCAACGCGGTAGGCAAAGGGAAGTTTTGTTTTAAAAGATAGTGAAAGGAAAGTTGGATAGTAACATGAGAAAGATGAGGTTAGACCCTTCCTTATTCACAAAAATTAGCTCAAAACAGACCAAAGATCTATAGTAAAGGCTAAATCGTAGAAGCTTTTAGGAAAAAAAAAGACAGTAAAAATCCTCTTAACTTTGAGTTGGGTAAATAATTCTCAAACTTAAAAAAACAATCAATAAAAACAGCTTGATAAAATTAAAATTCATTAAAAATGAAAAGTTTTGTTCCTCAAAAGATGTCTCTAAAGAAAATGAAGACTAGCCACATAGAGGGAGAAAACATTGCCAATGATATGTGATAAAGAAATAGTATCCAGAATTTATAAAGAGCTTACAGCTCAATCATAAAACAATGGTCCAATTTTTAAAAAGTGTGCTTTTCAGCAGAACAGCCAGACAGGTGTATTCAGGTACCTACTGAGTGCTTGGCAAATAATGGAGGTTGAGGATCTGAATTTGAATTTTGTTTAATTTCAATGAATTCAAATCTATGTAGCCATGTGTGATTATGACTAATAAGTTGAATAGTGGAAATTTAACAGTAAAGACCCACAGTAGGTATGGTGGTGCATTCCTGTAATCCCAGCACTTAGGTAGGAAGTTAAGGAAGGAGGATCACGAGTTTAAGGCCAACTTGAGCTACATAGGGAGTTCTAAATACCAGCCTCAGCAGTATAGATCCTGTCTTCTTAAAAGAAAATAAAGCAAAACCAACCAACCAGCCAAACAAAAACCAAACGGAAACAGAGTCAAGTCCCAGAAGAAAAGATTAGGTATTACTTTGGTCTGTATGAAAACTGTTAATTTTAGTGAGAAAATGCAGAAACCCAGTGAATATACCCTGTAGAGAAGAAACTTTCTAACTCAGTATATGACAGATAAATACAGTCTTCTATTTAGTACATAGTTTACAAAACAGACTGTCCTCATGAATTATTTATTATTCAGATTTTACAATTGTTACTCTGTATACAACTTCAATGGACCAAACAGTCTTCAAGGTTCGTTTGAATGAAATCTTACTATTTTAATTTTAAATTGTGTTTTAATAATTATTTCTTTTACTATATTTGTTACTCTCTCTCTCCATTCTCTTTCCCTATCCTTCTTCCCTCCCTCCTTCCCTCTCTCTTCCTCCCTATCTCTCTCTCCCTCTCTTTCTTCCTTCCTTTGCTGCTGAAAATCAAACTCAGCACCTGCACGTGCTAGGCAAATGCTCTCCCAGTAAGTTACACTCCCTTTCATCGTTTCAACTTTTAGAATTTATGAAATAGAAATTTCTATGCGGATTGGAAAGAAAATAATTTTTAGAAAAGGAAAAAAAATCATTTATCCTTTAGGAGATACACCTTCGGTTCTAGGGGGTCAAAATTGCTATAAAAACACAAACCCTCATAACTTTTCTATTAATGGCAAGTTTGTCATTAATATAACTCAAATCATATGGCTATATACCTTCTACTTCTTATTTTTAATATTTGTGTGTGATGCATGTGTGTACATGTTCATGTGTGTGCATGTGGATGCTCATGTATGTGTGTGCATGCATGTGAAGACCAAAGGTCAGCATTGGATGTTTTCTTCCATTGCTCTCTACTTTATTTTTTAATCTTACTTTATGTGTATGAGTGCATTGCCTGCATGTATGTAAATGCACCTATGTTGTGTAATGCCTCTCAGAGGTCAGAAGAGGACACCAGATCCCCTAGAACTGGAGCTACAGACTGCTGTTAGCTGCCATGTGGGTACTACGAACTGAACCCAGGTCTTCTGCAAAAGCAACCAGTATTTTGAATTGCTGAGTCATCTCTCCAGCCCCTCCACTTTTTAAAGACAGGACTTTTCTCTGAACCTGGAGCCTGCTGATTTGGCTAGACTGTCCAGTCATCAAGCTCCTGGGATTTTCCATGTCTATCCTCTTCCCCTACTCTAGTGCCCAGCTTTTGTGAAGGTGCTGGGGACCTGAACTCAGGTCCTCCTTTGTGCATGGCAAGCACTTTACCATCTGAGCCATCTTTCCAGCCCCAAACCTTTTAAACAGAAGAAATTATATGCATGAATTATGCTAAATATTTAAAGAAAGACAAACATGCTTACTATAATTATCTATGTATTATATTAATAATTAAAATTTCAATTATTTTTCTTACAGGTTTTGAATAATATGCTAGAAATATGAATTTAATACTTCATTTGGATTTACATAGTAATATCTTCATTCAGCTTCTCTTGAGAATGAGTACAGTTCTGATACTTTGCTGTTAAAAAGTTTTTTTTAATTATAAAGGAAATTAATTCATACTTGACTACAGTGTTTATAAGTAGGTCTCCAAACCAAATAGTTGTTTTGTTGTTGCTGCTGTTAGAAGAGGGACTTAATGCTTCCAAGTTCATGCTGTCTGTATATTTTAAAGTAGAACTTGGAGCAATCATCTCTACTCTCAAGAAACATTCCTGTAATGCAAAAAATAAGAGGCAATACTTACCATGTAGTTTATGTCTGAAAGAATGCTCTAGGACACCTTGAATCAGGCAACAGCTAGGACAGTATGAGCAACAGAGTTCCCCATTCCTGCCTGAGATCTCACATTTTAGGATTAAATTTGATGTGCTCAGAGAGTGATTTAGAAAGCTCAAGAGAAGCGAGTGTGGAAGTTCTAGAAGCAGTCATGGAAAACCCGAAACAAATCTCACTGATACATGTTGGGTTATAACCAAGACAGCCACATAATAAAACTATTTCAAATAGTTGCTTGGGTTAAAAATCTTTAATGCAAACTTTTCTATGTTATCTTCTGGGAAAAAATTCATCTTGCATTAATAATATCCAAAGATCTGACTTTGCTAATAGCAGAAAACCATAGTCAGTAACTGCTGTTATAGTTTTCTTTCCTAAACCTTGGTAGTAATCATTCAAAAGGAACTCACTGATCCTTGCTAACAACCATGCCTTACAGCCCTGTGTCATGCCTGTCACCTTATCAACATGCAAACAATCATTTCTCCCTTATTCCATTTATGGAATAGTGGTACAAAATTTTGATCTAGCCCATTCCCAAAACATTAGAATTGGTGTGGAAGAAGTGAAGGTACTAACAGAAAAATTAAATGAGATTTGACCCAGTTACTTAGATGATCAACATCAAGTATAAGATGGTATGACCTCACTTGTGAGATTAGCAGAGGCAGTATGTACAAAAGTTCATGCTTACACAAAAGAGTCTCTAATCAATGGTAGTGACTATTCGTATCTTATTTGTAGGAAAAAATAATCCTTTGTAATTGTCCTCCAGAAAATTAACATTAGCAATTAGCAGAGCAATTGTCAAAAGTTGAAAGTATACTCACTTAGCATTCTTCCTTTAACAATGTGTTATAACACTAATACCCATGAGGTCATCTAACTCCTTATCAAACTGCTGTTACAGTTATTGTATGTGATTGTTAATCTTGATCATCAACTTGATTGCACTGTGAGTTGCCTGGGAGATTAGTAAAGCACATTTCTCCCTCTCCCTGACTCTGGTGTAGTTCCAGGGGCAGGTATCATATGGTACAGCAACTGAAGGGATACAGCACCCTGAGTGTGGATTGTATCATCCAATAAAGGGCTCAGATGGTACAGAAGCAGAAGGAAGAGGAAGCCTACTGGCCCAGACTTGCCTTCTACTCCCTTGCCTCTTTATCACCATGAAGTGAGCATCCATCACACCTGTTCACCATGACAATCTGCCTCATGATAGGTCCACAGCAGTTGAACCACTCCACCATTGACTGAAATAAATCTTTCCTCCTTTTAATTTGTTTATGTCAAGTTTACATTTACGAGAGAGAGAGAGAGAGAGAGAGAGAGAGAGAGAGAGAATGTGTGTGTGTGTGTGTGTGTGTGTGTGTGTGTGTGTGTGTGTGTGTGTGCAGGGGATCAGAGGACAACTTGCAGGAGTCAGTTCTCTCCTTCTACCTTGTAGGTTCTGGAGATCAATCTCACGTCGTCAGATTTGACAGCCAGTTCCTTCAGATATCTCCCCTCTTCCTTTTCCTCCTTCATCTCCTCCTGCTTACCTCTCCCCCCTTCCCCCCCGACACCTCAAATGGGTGTCAACTTCTGACCCCACTGATATTCCTGTGGTGTGTTTAGAATCGGATAATGGGAACATTATGATCTAGAAACATGATGGCATCACATGTGCACAAGATGGTCTCTTGACATCCCCTGTCAGTTCTCCAGCAGCCTGTCACAGGGATTCAGTCCTACCTATGCTAATTAACATTAAATTATTGAAGTTCTAGAACTTAGGCCATTCATTTAATGCACAATGAGCACTTTTCTATTTATATTATAACCAGCTATCAAGATATTAGAAAGGATCATAGTTGTTTGGGATCTTGTCATTTTGCCTTTTTGAGACCATCTTGCTTTGTAGCCCAGCATTGCCTGGAACTGTATAGCCCAGGCTGACCTCAAATTTGTGGTCTTCCTGCCTCATACTCATGGGTGCTGGGATTACAGGTGTTTGTCACCAAGGTTCAGGTCATTTTGTATATAGAATTTGGTTGTGGTCAATAAACCTGTTCACAGGAAAGTTTAGCACTTTTTCTAGATTCTGTAACTCTTAATGCTCTATGTAGACACACATTTCACTAGTTATTTTTCTGAAAACCTTTAACTAATACAGATTTTGATTATTTAGTAGCAAGTAATATAGATTTAAATACATATTATACAAACATTGTTTTATAACACAATACTTTGTATTATAATCTCAATATTTGATTATTACTTTTTAAAAATGTTTTAAGGTCCCAGTAACACAGAAAGTATCTTGTACTTACTTCTGTTGGTTTGGATGAGGCATCCATTAATAATATGGTCACTCATGTCTCCTAAAACCACTGACATTAAAGGAACAGAGGCTCCATTTACCACTGATGCCAGTGCTCCAAGGATCATGAGGGTGATATCCAGTCCATCGGCAAAGCGGAACTGAAGCAAACAAAGCATGGGAGTGTAACATTTGTAAAACACAAACAAAACCAGCAATCCACAGCTTTTGCCATCAAGTAGATGCTACTTAAAAATTGACTATAAGATTAAATAAACAATGAAATCATGGTCATGTATTTCTCTATAAGTAACAAAGAAACCCATCAAAGATTTAATAACAGAAACACACATCAATGTGAGATTATTGGAAAATATTCACATATAAACATAGCAAAAGTCACTTATAATTCTTCATTTTTCTGGAATGACGCCTGGTAGCACTTATGCCTCTCATACATCTTTAGGCTGCTGAGCAAGTGATGTCATTATAGATGCTGTACTGTATTTTCTTATCTCTTACTATGGAGTTTGAGCTCATTTATGTTTCGTCTTTTGAAAATGCCATTGTGATGAACTCTGTCTCCCTTTTACTTGTAACAGAGGATGTAAGCTACTACACAATGTGAGCACCCCATGCCCTGGGGTCAGTTCTTGCAAGTTTCTGAGCCACACATCTGCTTCTGGGCCTCACTTACTATCTCAGTGAGTCCAACAGCTGGCTGTCCTACTGCAGGCACTTGTTCTTGCAGAGTTCTAGAAGACAATTGTTAAAACAGAAAAGTTATGATGTGAATATAACCTGTAAAAATTTCCAGGTAACATTTTCTTGGTGTCAAATATTATCTTTGGTAGCCAATTTATATAAATTTTTAAATTTCAAAATCAAATTTAATCACTGATGTAAAAACATTTTTAGAAAAGTCGCTGGGGAAGGAAGTTGTCAGTTATCTGTAAATGGAAATGGAGAATGAATCTGGAGTAAAAAGCTTTTAAATTTGTCAAAATATATATAGCAGACGTTATTTATTAACCATTTAAAGTGACATTCAGGGCCCTAAATCCACCCATTGTGCCATCCACAGAACTCTTTTCATTTTGCAAAGCTAATTCCCTGCACCTGGTGGATGCCCGCCCTTGCTCTTTCTCCTAGCCACCATTCTATTGTTTGTCTCTATGAACCCGACAACCCTGCTTGCCTCATCTGCATGAAATCATACAGTATTTTTCTTTTTGTGACTGGACTTATATCTCCAAGGCTCATCCTTGAATTATTCACTTAGCAGAAGATCTTAAAGTTTCCTCCACTCTACAGGTACCATGATTTCCCTCTACTTTAATGCTGAATGTTATTCTTACATGTATGCATCTGCTACATTTTCTTTATCCACTCATCAATCAATGGATACTGGTCTCCCTTCCGTGATTTGTCTATTACAAATAATGTTTCTATGGCTATGAGTGTACAAATACCTCTTGCCTTCAATTCCTTTGGGTATATATCCAGAAATAGAGTTGCAAATCATATAGTAATTCTGCTTTTAACTTAAAATTTTTTCGTTTTATTATTATTAATGTGTCTCAGAGAGACACAGAGATAGAGAGACAAAGAGAAACAGAGAGGTGGAGGACACATGTGTGCCACAGACAGTGTGTGGGGGGCAGAGGACAACTTCTGGGAATTGGTTCCTTCCGTGGGATCCAGGCATAGAACTCAGGCTGGGAAGGGAGCATTTTTGCCCATGCAGCCACCTCAAAGGCCCTGTTTTTAGTTTTTGAGAAGGCCATACTATTTGCTCCTCTGATAGCCCCTTTCCTTTCTACAAAAGGCACACGAATTCCACCTCTCTACATCCTCACCAATGCTTCCTCTTTTTTTCTTTGAAATCATATTATCCTAATAAGTGTGAAGTAGTGAATTTTAAAAAAGTTAAACATTTTGTGACAAAATGCTGAAGATCAACTGTGATCTTAAATGAGTTCTATTAGGTACACTGTGAACGGATGTACTCTGAATTTTTCCCCCATTTGAAAAATTTTATTTCTTATCTCTCATTTCAAGTAAGTCTAATGTATCTGTGAGCTTTACACATTGACTTGACATCAAACACACACAATTCTAAAACACAGAGGACCAGAGGGAAACAGTTTAAGCTTTCTAAAAAGACATAGCAAGAAGACAGACTGCCAAGTCATCTCTCCAGCTGTGTAACATTCTGTTCTGTCTTTACACACAAATGTTTAACATTTGTCTTTTACAAATGACAAGTCATGATTTTTTTTTTTCTGCTTTATGTTAAGAGTTAATCTGTGGACAGCGTGTGCTGGGAGGAGGCGAGGATTAAAAATAGTGTGTAAGCCCACAAGCCCCTTTTCCCATCACCAAGCTCAACTTTCGCTGCTTGATAGAAAGTTTGTTTCAGGGAGAGCATTTTTATCTTCCAGTACCTTCACTGAATGCTTTCAGAAGAGCACATGCTTCGAGTTTTTTTTTTTAATTGTTTATTATTTTTATTTTATGTGTATGAACGTATTGCCTGCAATGTATGTAAATGCACCTGTGTTGTGGAGCGTGTGTGCAGGTCAGAAGAGAATGTAGGATCCCCCTGGAACTGGAGTTCCTGAGGGTTGTTAGCCCCGACAAGAGCAGCCAATGTTCTAAACCTCTGAGCCATCTCTCCACTCTGCATGCTTAAAATTTTAAGTTCCCATTCTACCGGATTTAGAAGAGGTCAGAGTCTTGCCAAAGCGACCGAGCTGCCACATACAGATGCACTCTGAGGTTTCCAGAGGACACAGCTTGCATCCTATTTGGCCCCCAACATCCACGGAATTCTGTTCCTAGCTTCAAATGTGCCACCATCATCTAATCAGGATCTTGCCCATATTTCAAGGCCAAAGTCGACTCCCACATTTCATATGCCCTATTTTTCAGATTTCATCCAGTTTCTACCTTCAATCACTGTAACGGACTATTTTCTTTCCTATTTTTCTCTCATCTTCTTCATTCTTGGCTCTTCCAAACGGAATAAATCATGCAGTTCCTCAAATGCTCATGGTAACTAGCAAAATTAACCCCTTCCCAACCCAAGTTTCTCCATGGCAGCAGATGCTTGCTGCTCTGTTCCTACTGACCTACTAGCTTTTGTGGGGTACCGCTGTATATGAAAACCCCACAAGGTCGGTAGTATTACCACCCTAGTTTACCTAGCTTTGTGATTGAATTTGTCTGTAGAGCTAGAACTTGAAGTTTTCACCGCAAATTTTAGTGCTGCTTATCCAGTATGTGCTGGAGATATTGTTAGCATCTAGGGGCATCAGTCTGGTTCATTTTCTCTGCCAATTAAAGAGTTAAAAGGCAGGAAAAAACCTCAGACACAGCAGAAAGCAACAGATAACAAACATCCATGAATACAGCCATTGTGAAAAATGATGTGTTGGGGGGGGTGCCTCAAAAAACTACAAACTTGATTACCAAATGACCCAGCTGTGCCAATGCAAGGTACATCTTCAGAGGAACTGTCATTAGTATACTGAAGAGTTGCCTGCACGTCTGTGTCTTAGTGTACCAGTATTCACAGTAGTGAAGATAGGCAAAAAACGGAGAAGCCCATCCATGAATGAATGTGTAACAAATATGTGACATAGATACACAATGGAATACTAGTCAGCCTTTACTGTATTACTTTTTTCATTTAAAATTTTAATTTTATCTAAAAATTTCTATGTCTGGGAATGGAAACTTGAGTGTATGACTCACAGAGGTCAGAAATGGGTGTCAGATCCCCTGGAGTTATGGGCAGTTATGAACTGCCCTGAGTGGTTGCTGGGATTCCAACTCTGGTCCTGTAAAAGGGCAGTACACACTCTTGACCACTGAGCTATCTGTCTACCAGCTTTCTCCCCTTTTTTATTTGAGACAGTCTTACTAGGTAGCCCTGACTGGCCTGGAACTCACTATATAGACCAGGCTAGTCTCAAACTCAGAAAATGCATCTCCTTCTCTTTCCTGAGTGCTGGGATTAAAGATGTGTGCCATCACGCCTGGCTCTATTTTTTTTTTTTTTTTTTTTTTAAAGATAGGATCTCACTGCTTCTCCTGGTCCTCCTGCCTCAGCCTTTTGATTAGGATTACAGACATATGCCCTTCTCGGCATTTAAACCATGGATGATCTTGAAGGCATTATGCTAAGTAAAAGGGCACAGAAAGATAAATATTGCACCAAGTCACTGTTATATAAAATAACAGTTACACTCACAGTAGGGAGTACAATGGCCATTACCATTGGAGGAGTGTGTGGGGAATGAGTGGTCAATACCCCCAAATTGTTAAAGCAGTTGATTTCATATGTTCTTACCCAAAGAAACAACCGGTATGTAAGATAATGCATATGTTAATTAATCTGCTTGGATCATTCCATTCTGTTTATGTGCATTAAAACATCACATTGTGCCCAATAAGTATTCTCAGTTTGAAATAAAATAACAAAGAAATTACAAAAATTAATTTGCCAGGAAACTGAAAGATGTTTCCCAGGAGGAATTTGCTTCACCTCTCAGATGACGGGGGATGTTCTGACCCCTAAGAAGATGACATTCAGGAAGAACCTTTTATGACTACTTCCAGCATTAACGAGCCACGTGAGCTAGGGAGTTTCCCTTCAGTTGTATAGAATGTATATCCGAATATAATGCTGCAGCTATGGCAAAGGCGAAATTAAAATAGGTATTAAACTGTATCTTTTCTTTCTTTCCTCCTCCTCCTCCTCTTCCTCCTCCTCCTTCTTTTGGCCTTTTTGAGACAGGGTCTCCCTGTAGAGCCAACTGGCCTGGAACTCACTTTGTAGACGAGGCTGGCTTTGAACTCACAAAGATCTGCCTGCCTCTACCTCCCAGTGCTTAAACTAGATATTAAACTATTTCTATTTTATATCACCACATGAATGGATTATGTACATTATTATAATGTACATATACACAAAGACATCATCTTAGTGAAAATAGAGGTACTGCATGGAGTCGAGTCCACTGGAGCTGAAATGAAAAGATGTGACTGTCTTTCCTTTGCTTTGTATTATGGTAATATGCAAAAGAATTCAAAAGAGATGATATCTGAAGTTCTAAGCCAACAACACTGGTACAATTACCGTTCCTAAAATCACTGTTAAAGCAGCTGCAATGATAGTTATAGGGAAGTACAGCAAAATGCAAACAGCATTGTTAATTTTGAAAATGAAGCTGCTTTTGCTACGTCTGTGAATAAGGTAAGGTACATCTGAAGTTGCAGGAAAAATGTGCAGAATTTAGTGAACGCTTTCCCATTTCCTTATTTCCTTGTATCCCTTTGGCTCTTTCAGAATTTGCCATCTTATTTACAGTTTAGTTCTTCTAAAATAAAATATCAGTAATATAGCATGACTATGTGTGTCTCTTCAACTGGCTGGCATACCACCGCCTCTACATCCCTACGGCGTCTCTGAAAGCACACTGCTCAGAGTTCCATGCTGCCTGATCTTCCCTTTCTCAGAAACTTCTGGTTACACCATTGAGCTATTCAGAGTTCATCACTGAATTTGTGACTTTTTCACCCCATTCTGAGCTTGGACTTGGAGCTGATAGAAATTTTAGAATTTAAATAAAAGAAAAAATAAAAGTGGAAAACACAGTTTTTCTGGATATTGGATTTTATTCTTACTCTGATTTGATTTTAACCGAGGAAAACTTTAAACTACTTCATATTTAATTTTCTCTCTAAA